CTCCCTACCAAGTAATTTTTAGATGACTTTCTGTAGCAAGTAAAGCGGACAGAAGAGGAAGAGGTGGGACAAAGAAGCAATGATGGGTCAACAGAAAAATAAATTTAGACATCTGTAATGCACAAACAGAAACCAACCCCAAGAGCACCACTTCCTTTTACACCAGGAAGCATAGTTATATCGTAGGCCCTCTGTGTCCTTGGGCTCCACATCCTCAGATTCAACTGTCAGACTCAGCCTCGAAATAAAAACATTTTAAAAAGGCTGAGAATGTTGCTCAATGTGAAGATCCTCAGTTTGATCCCCAGATCCATAATAATAATGACGAGGATGATGTGCCACTTTGAATCTATTGAAAGGATGGTATTCAGGTAGGAAATTTGAGAGTATCTAAGCTGGCGATTGGGCAGAAGGACTGTATACTGCTACTGGAGCAGCTATTTGGAGGACAATTGCGTGCATCTGTGTGTCCACTCAAGTACCAGGCACTGTGATCTGGTGCTGCTGCTCCTGGAGCAGCTCATGTGTACATGGCTTAACAGGGTGTGCAGTCAGGCTTATTGCAGCCTTGATTATAACATCAAAAGAAATAATGCCCACCAAGAGTGGCGTGGTGGAACCTCAGTGTTAGGAAACATCCTTGCCATCAGGGCCCCGAGGCTCCCCACCATGTCCTTGCAGCCTGGTCCCCTCAGTGGACCTGGTCTCCTGGCTGGTGTTCAGCATCTCTACAGCACGAAAGCAGACACTCTCAGGACAGCTTAGGCCTGTGGCACAGGACTAGAGAGCTCTCACTGCTGCCGCATCTGTCAGTCCTGGCAGATAGGAGCCAGCTGAACACCTGTGCCACTTCCTGGGTGCAGTAATCAGGAGGAGCAGTTGCTCCCATGAGGGAAGAGAAATTCTCAGAGGCCCTTTTGGGTAATCAGCTACCCTCAATGTATTGGGGATTTCAAGGAAGTTTTCCTGAGGATTTGATGGTTGAGGTGAAATCAGAGGCCAAACAAACCTTGGTTATAGGAAGAGGAGACAAATCCCCCAAATTCTCTATTCCACTGTTTTAAAAATATTTCAATGTATATGCTAATCTGTTTCATTTATACCACTAGTTTTTCTTTGTTCATTGAAAAGGAAGTTTTGTGCTATTATGTTTGTTTCTTTTTGCACCCTGAGTAACATTTTGCCCATTCTTTTGAGATTATGGTACAGTGTATTATTGGTTGTTACTCTGTGATTATTTTGTTATGTAATTTTGTTATATTTTTTCATTGAAGTGAGAAGAATGTTGTTCATATTTTATTTATTAATGTTTGCATGTATTACATTAAAATTTTAAAAAAGAAAGCTCTGGGAAAGACAAGGGCCTGGCAGCCTCTTGACCCCTTGAGACACTGGGTCATCTGCCCAGCACAATGCTGGGTTCAGGCAGAGATCTGGGCTTGGGTTACTGACAACTAATTACAATTGCACTTGGAGTGGGGATGCTGTCTGGGAAGAGACGGGGCTGCAAAGAGCAATGATGGCAGAAAGTTTTGGCAACAAGACTGGAACCAGACAAAATACCCTTCTGTGGAGGGCCAGCTTCTTTCTGTGGAAAATTAAAATAGGAATCCATTGAAAGTTTTGAACTGAAGAGTTACAGGTTAATGTTCTGAGAGAATATTAGGAAATCAGAGTTTTAGAAGATAACCAAAGAATTAGGGACTGGTGAAATGACTGTGACCACCTTCTAATAAAAGTATACCTAGCTGGGCATGAAGGCACACATCTCTAATCCCAGAACTCTGGGAGGCTAAGGCAGGAGAATCACAAGTATGATAGCATAAAGGTCCTTTGTTCAATCTCCAGGACCACACATATAAAAAGTATATGTAAATTAAAGAAATTTAACCTCATTAAGTTAAATTTTCCCATGTCCCAGCCCCTCCATACCAGGGATCAAACTCAGGACCTTGCGCTTGCAAAGCAGGCATAGTGGCACTGAGCTAAAATCTCCAGTCCTCATTAACTTTAATTCTCATTAAAAGACACTGCTCTCCTTTGGTGAAACTCTTAGTTTCTTGTGACACCCAGTGTTTTCTCTACAGATGTCTTTTCTTCAACATTTAATCTATGTGACTCTAAATGACCCCAGGACTGTTATTTTAAAACCTAGAAGTGGAAATTTCTCAAAAGCCAAGAATCTTAATAATTTCATCCTCATCAGAGTGTATAAGATCAGAATTTTTGCATTTTGGAATCTATCTAATAAATAAAAAATATAACAAGGAAGAATGCAATGCAAATTAATGTCAGACTTTTATTTTAGCTCATTGATCCCAAAATTTATTTGGTTATAGGACTGTGTTATATCTGAGTTTGAGCTGTGATTCTGCTACTAATTAGACTTAGAGAGGAATTTATTAGATCTCCTCTATCTTCAACTTTTTCATCTATGAAAAAAAATCGCCTAGCTCATAGGTTTCTGTGATATTTAAATGAAATCATATCTCTACTGTGCCTCGTACTTGGTAATTACTAAATATATGTTTTAATCAATAATATGACAATACAGAAACTCTGTTTGGGTGACGGAAAATTTTGGAAACAGTGGCTAAAGTTGTACATTATTAATGTAATCCCACCGTCCAAATGTATGCTTAAAACGGTTAAAATGGCAATAAAAATTTAAAAAGCAATACCCATGTATTTGCAATTTACGAGTAAAACCTACTCTATTTAGCAATACACTTTTAAACCTCAGTTTCAGAAATCCCACGGGAGGCTGTCCTTCACATGAGGCAGTGGCGCTCTTTGGCAAGGCAGTTGCCTGGAACCCCGCTTTGGAGCGATGAGTCTGCCCTCGTGTGAGAATCGTGCCCTCTAGCGGCACCATGCGCCATTGCAACGACTTCTGCAGAAAGTCAAATTCCTAGCTGTTGAGCCTTGATGGTAAAACAAGGAGGATTTTCCTGGATGAAGAACAGTGTATCCATGAAGCTGGCAGCCAGTGGCCTGAAAAATGCAGACTGGGCAGCGTTCTGGGGCGTTTGGGCTGAGCACCTCTCACTTTGGCTTCTTTAGCTTTGGGTTCCACTATTTAATCCCTCCTTTCACCTTCTGGTCATGGAAGCAGAGAAGGACACAGAATTGTAGATCTTCTCTTCCCTCCAAAACTTCCTGCTAATGGATGCTCAGCTCTGGCTTTGAACTGGCTCTGCTGAGTCAGGCTCTGTACATAGATGCCCAGAGGTTTTAACAAAACATTTGGAGGCCCAGTGATTGATACTACCTCTGGGTAATTGTCCAAATGGGTCCTTTGCTCCACTCTCCTTCCCTAGTTCCCACATGAGCTGGGTTGTTAGCTGAGCAGAGGAGGTGTCCAAAGACCACAGCCACTCTCTGGTTTTCAACAAAGAAGTCGCATAGGGCCTGCGAGAGGGGTTAGCAGAAGCAGAGGCAGCACTTTGAAGAGGCTCTGGGAAGAGAGCAGGGAGAGCCCCTGTGGCTTCCCCTCTCCTCCTCAGCAGCCCCTGATTTTCCATCCTTTCCTCTTCTTCACTCCCCCCACCCAGAGTTCTTTACTTCTGAAGTTTCTTCTCTTACCGTCCCGTAGCTCTGGAAGCTTGGCTCCAGCTCAGCCCAACACGAGCTGCCCAGAACCCTCGAGTTTCTCAGGCCAAACAAGCATAAGATGTCATACATGATCTGTAGTCTGAGTTGCCAGATGGTGTGATAGACTGAATCTGAAGGCAGAAGCAACCTCTGGAAGGCTGTGTGATTACTTTACTAGCAACCATTTCGATACTGCGCTGAAGTTAGTATCAAGGCCTGTGAGGAGTCAGTGATCCTCCCTGGCTGAGAGGCTGTGATCAGGCTGAGTTTGTGGCTGCTCCCTGCAAAAGGCCTAACCAGAGCACACTCTGTGTTGTTGGTGATGTTCAGGGCTAGATGAATGTGAAATCCCTGAATGGCATTGTTACAAGCTGCCTGTGAACCCTGTAATGCTTGGGTCTGTCTCCAGTAACTGAGCATTTAATTAAGATTTCAATGAGAACTTTCTTTCTTCCCCACCCTTTCCAGCATGCATAATACCATATTTTTTGTTGTTTTGGGGATTGAACCTAGGGCTTGGGTTCAATGCTAAGCATGCATTGCACTGCTGAGCTACATTCCTAGCCCATAAAACCAGGTTGTTTTTTTTTTTGGTACCAGGGATGGAACTTGGGTCCAGCTTTGGAACCGCTGAGCTAGATCCCTGGCAAAACTAGTTTTTTAAGTTGTCAATTGGAGCGTGCAGAATCAATTCTTTTTTTTCTTTTTTTTTGGTACTGGGAATCAAACTCAGGTCCTTGTGCTTGCAAGACAGGTGGCAGAACCACTGCCTCAATGTGTTCTTTCCTCAAAACAATATGCTTAAGATGTTTATTAAGTATGCAAGAGGTATATTCTGTACTATTGGCTGTTATTTCTTTGGTCAGATTGAATTTCATTTTAAAGATTATTTTAAAAGGGCATGTCACATAGTGTTTCACATAATGAAAAGGTATACTATGTTTTATAATTTAAGAATGGCTTCAAAATTATAGAGGGAATGTCTTAAAATGGGTACTTGAAATAATTTGATTGTGAAAGGAAGCTAAATTAACTTCTTAATTTAGGAATTTGAGGATTCAGGCTGAATTCTTTTAAAACACAGGCTTTTTTAATCGGAGCCTTTTCAGGTTCCCAGCAGAACTGAACTGAAAGTACAGAGATTCACCATATGCCTCCTCCTTCACCCGCGCCACCTGCACTATCTCTGTCCCCACCAGAGAGTTCATTTGTAGCAGTCTATGGATCCGCATTGACTCATGGTCAACACTGAAGTCCACAGTGTACCTTGGGACTCACTCTTGGTGCTGTGCATTCTGTGGGTTTAGACGAATACACAGTGACAAGACTTGGCCATTGCAGTGTCACAAAGGGCAGTTCCATAGCCCTCAGAGCATTCTGACCCCACCTGCTCACCCCTTTTTCCCCTGACTTCCGGGAACCACTATTGTCTTCACTGTCTCTAGGGTTTTGTCTTTTCCAGACTGTCATACAGTTGGAATCATACCATCTGTAGTCTTTTCAAGCTGGCTACTTTCATTTGGTAACATACATTTAAGGTCCTCCATGTCTTTTTGTGGTGCAATAGCTCATTTCTTTTTAGTATTGAGTAATATTCCATTGCCTCTATGTAGCACAACTTGTCTATCCATTCACCTTCTGAAGGACATCTTGGTTGTTTCCAGATTTTGGTAATTATAAATAAAGCTGCTATAAAGATCCACCCATAAGTCTTTGGGTGAGTGTAAGTTTTGCAGGTTATAATTTTTTATTTTTAATCCCCAGTGTCCAGGAACAGTGGTGGTAAAATTTGACCTGAGTACCAGAGCCATAAATTCAGTGTCTGCTATAGCTCCTCACTAAGGCAACCAAATGTTAGAAAGTCAGTACAAAGTTGAAGAACCATAGCAGAAGTGTTTAATCATGATATTCAGTTTATGGTACTCAAGATAATCAGACTAGGCGTATCCAGCAAGTGCAGACTAACATAATCACAAACTTCCCTTTGATTACACAAGACCTTCTAACATGCCGCCGCCATTGCTCTTTAGCCATATATAGTTGAGATGTAATTATGACAAGCAACAAGTAAATGGCTTGCACAGCACTATCCTAAAGGGTGGGGAAGTGCTGACTTTGGCAGCGCATATACTAAAGGGTGGGGCGCTGGACCACGTGGTGTCCAAGGGTCACGGGCCCTGAGCCTGGTAGGTGAGCAGCATGGAGCCCACCACACACGGGGGAAGAAAACCCAAGTATGTTTCAAAGAAATGCATATATTGAACACCAGCTACTCTTCAGTGATTGTTACTAACAGTTAAACATTTTAAATCTGCTCAAGGACTTAATGAAATCTTTCATTTTCCAGTTTTCCACCTAATTTGTACCTGCTACCATGTCCTGCCCCCACCAAAACATCACAGAAGTTCCTGCCTTCCCCTTCATCCCCACGTGAAGAACCTCATACATGGTGAAGAACTGGCCTGTGTGGGTCTTTGGTTTCTTGTGGTCTACATGTTGCTTCTCTGATTGTTTTGTCTTGGGATGCTTTCATTTTCTGGTGATTCTGAAATCAGTTTTTACTATGTTTATGGGTGTGCCCTGATTTAAGAAAACTTCTAAAAGAGAACAATTAGCAACTGGCTGTTTATTTATCAAAAACATGTAGTTGAAGTTTTCCTGAAGAGCTCCTATAAAATGTAAAGTTCTCACAGCACATTCTTATAGATAATGGAGTTTATAGAAATTACGTTTAGATAGAATTTAGCAGGGACACTCACAGCCTTTGTTCAGCAGATGCTGGGTCCTTACTTGGTTTTCAATGTGGAGTGTCCAGCCTGAGGCCTTTTCAAGTAGAGAATATTCAGTGAGAGAAACAATTGTTTTATCTAGGGATAATTAAACTCTTGGGTTATTAATCCATGATTTAAAGAAAGGAAACAATAAATCAAGGCTTCTCAATAAGAATAACCATTATAAAAACAGGTCTAAGTGGAGGCATTTTTTACTTACAGCTTGTATAAATGAACTATTACTGAGGTAAATTCTGTTCTCCCTGAAGATTAGTGGTAATTAAAAGTATAAACTATTAGAATAATAGGATTTTAGAGGAGAAAGGAACAAGCTTTTATATCACAGTTCAAAGATTCATCCTGTGTTTTGAAAATTGGCTTAGATGTAAGATCATAAATCTAAGCAATGCAAAAAGTAGATCTCAAAATTTGCAGTCTGGTGTTTTTCCCCTGTCACTCCACACCCATTTCAAATCCTGGGGGACAGACACTTCTTTCCACAAAGTATTTACACTTGATCTTAGCCAAAAGGCCGAGAAGCGATCCACAAAGTATTTAATCCGCTATTGCATTAGTGGATTCACATTATCTCATGCTAGCTGTACGCTGGGTGGCTTTGCACAGGCTGTTTTCAGCAGCCGAAGTGGATACAATTACAGTGGCAACTAAGCCAACCTCTCATGCCCTACGCAGATGCAGAGGTCTTGTGTTTCTGATCTGTTGTGATTAGGACAGTGGTCTATATTTCATCTTGCTTGTTAAGTGTGGCATTATGATAATTATTTCATGCCTCTGTTTGAAGGCATGTATAACGACAATAGGAGGAATATAACTTGTAATAAATAACAGCAAGGTCTTTGGAATTTAAGAATAGACAGTCAGGCCACTGTGGTGGCACATGCCTATAATCCCAGCACTCAGGAGGCTGAGGCAGGGAGATTGCCACGAGTTTGAGGCCAGGCTGGACTACACAGAAAAAAAAAAAAAAGACAGCTGGGGATTTAGCTCAGTGGTCAAAAAAAAAAAGAAAGAAAGAAAGGATGATTGTCATTTCTTTTTCTTTTTTTTTTTTGTACCGGGGATTGAACTCGGGATCTTGCACTTGCAGGGCAGGTGGAGGGATCACTGAGCTAAATCCCGAGCCCTCAAGGGTATATTTTTTAGAATGAGACTGTAGCATGGGTTAAAGATTTAAAGTGAC